AACTATTGTCACAAGAAGGGACATGTGCTTGAAGAATGCTTCAAGTTGAAGAATAAAGAAAAAGAGAAGACGGCAGCAAATGGTAAACAAGCTAGCACTTCGGGTGAAGCCGATGTAGCTGAGGTGGAAGGTATTGGAGAACTTTTGACAGTTTATTCAGATAAACTGGATTCCACTGGTGATTGGATACTCGACTCTGGTTGTACTTTTCATATGTGTCACAACAAAAGTTGGTTTTACACATTTGAAAAGGTTAACCAGGGCTATGTGTTGATGGGTAACAATACTACATGTCCAGTTCTTGGACATGGTTCAGTCAGGATCCGTATGTTTGACGGAGTTATTCGAACCATGGGGGATGTTAGATATGTTCCTGACCTCAGAAGAAACTTGTTATCTCTCAGTTCCTTTGACAAAAGGGGATACGAGTTTGCTGGTAAAGGTGGAGCTCTCAGGGTATTCAAAGACGGCTCCGACAAACTGAGAGCCAAACGAAAAACCTCAGATCTTTACTTTCTTGACGGGCAAACAATTTCGAGTGATGCTGCTGTTGTTTCAAAGTCTCTTTCTGATCCAGATCAATCCCGTCTTTGGCACCTTCGACTCGGCCATATGAGTTTTCAAGGCATGTCAGAATTGAGTCAAAGAGGTTTACTTGGTCAACAAAAGATTGTTGATTTGGATTTCTGTGAAGACTGTCTATATGGCAAGGCAAAACGAGTGAGGTTTGCAAGTGGCATCCATACAACAAAAGGATCACTTGATTATGTTCACTCGGATTTGTGGGGACCGGCTCGAGTTGCTTCAAAAGGTGGAGCTATTTATATGCTCACTATTATTGATGATTTCTCCAGGAAGGTGTGGTCTTTCTTCTTAAAACATAAAGGAGACGTTTTCTATACCTTCAGAAATTGGAAAGTTCAGGTTGAAAAGCAATCAGGTCTGGTGGTAAAGTATCTTCGTACGGATAATGGACTTGAGTTTTGCTCAGAAGAGTTTAATGTCTATTGTCAAAAGGAAGGCATTACTCGACATCGCACAGTAGTCCATTCACCTCAACAAAATGGTGTAGCTGAAAGGATGAATCGCACCATTATGGAGAAGGTCCGGTGTATGCTTTCTAATTCCAAATTGCCAAAGTCTTTTTGGGCGGAGGCTGCTTCGACTGCTTGCTATGTTATCAACCGATCACCGTCACGAGCAATCGAGAAGAAAACTCCATTTGAGTTATTGTCAGGTAAACCTGCAAATTATTCAGATATAAAACCATTCGGATGTCCAGCGTATGCACGAGTTGACAATGGGAAGCTAGAACCAAGAGCAATCAAATGCGTTTTTCTTGGGTACAATCAAGGTGTAAAGGGTTACAAGTTATGGATCTTTGATTTGAAGAAAATTATCATCTCAAGAGATGTTACTTTTGATGAGTCTGCTATGATTCAACCAGTTGCTGACTCTTCTAAAAGAACAGATGCATCAGATGTATCATCCGAAGCAAATAAAGAGAATGCTCAAATGGAGGTGGAGCTTCCTACTTCACCTACCACTAATCAGAATACAAATCAGCATCAAGATTCTTCTTCGTCGGATGAGCATGTTATTGGTGAAGATTCAACACCTTCACAACCACAAGCTACTACTCCAAGCATTGCAAGAGATAGACCGAGAAGACAGATTATTCCTCCGAAGAGGTATGCTGAATCTGATTTAGTTGCCTATGCTTTTATTGTTGCTGATAATATTGAGTACGCAACGGAGCCTACGAATTATGACGAGGCTATCAAATCTGAAGACTCAAATGATTGGATGCTCGCTATGCAAAATGAGATGGAATCCTTGCAGCGAAACAGTACTTGGAATTTAGTTCCTATTCCGAAAAGGAAGAGACTAGTTAAATGCAAGTGGGTCTATAAGCTCAAGGAACCTGTCAACCCAAATGATAAACCAAGATACAAGGCTCGGTTAGTAGCTAAAGGCTACAGTCAGATTCCTGGTATTGATTACACTGACATTTATTCCCCAGTTGTCAAACATACTTCCATTCGTGTATTGTTGGGGTTGGTTGCTTCTAACGATTTTGAGTTAGAACAACTTGATGTCACTACAGCTTTCCTAAATGGTGAGCTTGAGGAAGAGATTTTTATGCAACAACCTGAAGGTTTTGTAGTTCCTGGAAAGGAGAACTACGTATGCAAGTTGAACAAATCTCTTTATGGCCTCAAGCAGTCTCCTAGACAATGGTACAAGAGGTTCGATTCTTTCATGACCAGTCACAAATTCAGCAGGTGCACCTATGATAGCTGCGTTTATTTCAAGAAAGGTGACAACGGTTCAGAGATCTACTTACTCTTGTACGTGGATGACATGTTGATTGCAACGAAAGATATGAAGGAGATTCAGAAGTTAAAAGACCAGTTGAAAGCTGAATTTGAAATGAAGGACTTAGGAGCTGCCAAAAAGATTTTAGGTATGGAAATTATTCGTGACAGGAAGTCTAGGATCTTGCATCTTTCTCAGAAAAGTTATATTGAGAAAGTCCTAAGACACTTCAATATGCACGAAGCAAAGTCTGTCAACACACCTTTTGCAGCTCATTTCAAGCTATCATCCGCTTTGAGTCCTACTAATGAGACTGATATGGCTTACATGGCACGTGTTCCATACTCTAGTGCTGTTGGATCTTTGATGTATGCTATGATCTGCACGCGCCCTGATTTGGCTTATGCTGTTAGCATGGTTAGTAGATACATGGCGAACCCGGGGAAAGAACATTGGAAAGCAGTACAGTGGATTTTTCGTTATTTACGCGGTACGTCTTCTATGTGTTTACGTTTTGGTAAATCTAACACTGGGGTGTTCGGATATGTTGATTCAGATTATGGCAAAGATTTGGATAAACGAAGATCAATTACAGGGTATGTGTTTACTCTAAATGGTTGTGCTGTTAGTTGGAAAGCCCAGTTACAGTCTACAGTTGCCCTGTCTTCTACCGAGGCAGAGTACATGGCGATTACAGAAGCAGTTAAGGAAGATATCTGGTTGAAGGGGTTATTTGGAGAACTCGATGATAGAATAAAGGTGACCACAGTTTTCTGTGACAACCAGAGTGCTATCTTCTTGAGTAAAGATCAAATGTTTCATGACCGAACAAAGCATATTGATATTCGTTATCATTTTGTGCGGGATATCATTGAAAAAGGTGATTGTGTTGTGGACAAGATTCATACAGATTATAATCCTGCTTATATGTTCACCAAAAGTCTTCCTATAGCCAAGTTCAAATTATGTTTGGACATGGTGGGTGTTTCTGATCGCAGTTGAGCCTGAAGGCTCGTAGGTGGAGGAAGTATTATTTATTTTTCGGAAACAATTTTTTCTCTATATAAAATTTGCAGGTTCTTATGGAAGTTTTAGAGTTTGGTGAGCTATAGGTTTTGACTAATCGTAAAGCATGACTTGCTTAATTTTGATGTCAAGGTGGAGATTGTGGAAAAGTTGCCTCCAAAATTAGCAAGTGGTAAATAGTTCAGGGGTTATTTCAGTAACTTATCATTTACTATTCATAGTTTGACTAAGAATAGTAATATAAGTGTGAATTTGGAAATGAGAATGGACGGTGGTTAATATTATAATATATATATCTTAATTTTGGAATGAAAAATGGATGGTAGGCGCCTACAAATCTTTTCCGCCTACAATTTTGGACATTTTTTTTTCTCTTTCCTTTCATATTACCTTCTCTTTGGCTATAAATAGCCTAAGCCATTTTCATCATAAACACACGAACCCAACAATCAAATATATATATATATATATATATATATATATATCTATATAATATATATATATATATATATATATATATATATATATATATATATATATATAGTAAAACATTACATATATATATATATATATGATATATTATATATATATATATATATATATACTGATACACCACCATATATTTTAGCCCTCTCACTCTATTTGTAATCTCTTTCATAATCCCTATAAACACTGCAAATTATAGTGAATTGTTTCTTGGCTTCCTCCGCCCGTGGTTTTTTTCCCGATTTGGGTTTCCACGTAAATTCTGTGTCTCTATTCTATTTATTTTATTCGTATTTCGTTGTGATTATTACGCTTTGATAATTTTTGATCTCATTCCGCATTGAGCTAATATTATTTAAGTCTATTCGGATCCTTCGTATTACACACATATATATATATATATATATATATATATATATATATATATATATAATATATAATTATATATATATATATATATATATATACACACACACACAATTTGAAATGGCATACAAGTTGATGGATTTATTGAAGGAGAGAGAGATTACAACAATCTGAAAGGACACACATGACCTTTGGTTTATCATGATGGCTTTCTTTATGTTTACTCTGCCATACAATATGTTACAGGAGGCCAGGTCTATCCTGACCAGGTGAATTTTTACTTGCATTTGACAATTATAGAAATCTGTTGCTGGCTGATAATCTTTCTTGTTATTTCTGATCTTGTTTGGCTTTCTCTACATTGTGAATCTTGGAATAATGTTATCCATTTATATGAAGACTGATGTGGTATGAACAATTTTTGTATGTTCTTGATTCTTTACAGTTGTTTAAATGATTTTATCTTCTTGATAGGTACCTTGGTGGGCTCTGAATTTGCTTTCTTTATCCAAAAGATTGCATTCAATCTTTGTGCTTCGTCTGTTCAACGACTGTTTTGCAATGACTCTTCTCCATCTTTGCTTGGTTCCACTCCTTTATCAGAAATGGCATCTGGGTTTGATTATTATTACCCCCTTTATTCAATACTATATTATCCTTTGTGGAAGACAATATAAAGGTAATAGTAATATAAATTATTATAATTAAACATCATCACATATTATTAATTATTATTACCCCCCTTTATTCACTAATATATTATCCTTTTTTCTTTTCATTTTATACAAAATGGTGTTGTGACTATGTCGTGGACTTCATTGTTGGTGGTGGAACATTTGATGTTACCTGTGGTTGCTCATATAGCTTTTGCTGGAATGTAAGCTTCATTATTTTTACTTTTTAAATGAAAAACAAAGTAAATATTCATTACTTTTGATACATATTAACAGTGTATTGAGGAGGCTCACAGACCGGTTGACTGTGACATTGTGTAGAATCTGAAAACATGAATTGGTATTTAGTTATATTTACTTATTTACCCCTATACCTTTTGTGATCTAACTTGGTTAATTTTTTAGGATATTAGCTAATTCGAAACCAGGTCCCAAATGCAAGCGACCAATTGAAAAGAACCAAGGCTGTATGCATATTACATGTACTCCGCCTTGCAAATTTGAATTCTGCTGGTAAGTTTATTATTTATTTTCCAATGTATTTTTCATAAAAATCTTGTGAAATATGTTTTTTTGCAGGCTTTGTCTTGGTGCGTGATCTGATCATGGTGAAAGAACAGGTGGTTTTTATGCATGCAACCGTGATGAGGCAGCAAAACAAGAGGGAGTGGTGATAAATTAAGATTTATTTATATCATTTACTAAATATTTTACACATTTGAAGTTATTAAATAATAAAATATTGTGTATTTTGTTGTCTGCAGTATGATGACACAGAGAAACGAAGAGAGATGGCTAAAAACTCTTTAGAAAGATACACTCATTATTATGAAAGATGGGCTACAAACCAATCCATAAGCTTACTTTATTATTGTTATAACTTATAATACCGTTTCTATTTATATAAAAAAATCTTGACTTTTATACGATGTTTTATAATTTATATGTTTTAACAGGATAATTATTGTTTTCTGTTCTACAGTCTAGACAAAAGGCCCTGGCAGATCTTCAGCTCACCTTTGGAGCTCTTTTGTTGAATAGGCGGAGTCCATATTCATCTCCTCATCTTTGACGATCCTGGTAAGAATTATCTTGGTAAAACAATAAAAGACAAAAGTACCCTTATTATACTTCCTAATCGATGTTATTCTCTTTTCTCAAACAGGCTACATCAGAAGTCCCGTTTGAATTACTCCCATTAAGAATAAAGGATTTTTTTGGAACAACAAACAAACAGAACCTCTGTTGTAAAATACGACGGATCCAAATTGACTTAAATAATATTAACTCAATGCGGAATGGGATCAAAAATTATCAAAGCGTAATAATCACAACGTAATACGAATAAAATAAATAGAATAGAGACACAAGAATTTACGTGGAAACCCAAATCGGGAAAAAACCACGGGCAGAGGAAGCCGAGAAACAATTCACTATAATTTGAAGTGTTTACAGGGATTATGAAAGAGATTACAAAATAGAGTGAGAGAGCTAAAATACACGGTGGTGTATCAGTATATATATGTAATACTTTTCTATATATACTTGGATGATTTTTTGGTTGTGTTCTTTCCTCTGGTTCATGGCTTAGGCTATTTATAGCCAAAAGCAATATAATATGAATTGTAGAAAAAATGTGCCGTCCGAATTCCAATTGTAGGCGCCTACCAAAAATTCACCCTCCAAATCAAATTCACATATATATACTACTATTCATAGTCAAGCTATGAATAGTGAAAGATAGACGTCCAATTTCATTTCAATTAACATATATATTACTATTCATAGTCAAACTATGAATAGTAAATGATAAGTTACTGAAATAACCCCTGAACTATTTGCCACTTGCTAATTTTGGAGGCAACTTTTCCACAATCTCCACCTTGACATCAAAATTAAGCAAGTCATGCTTTACGATTAGTCAAAACCTATAGCTCACCAAACTCTAAAACTTCCATAAGAACCTGCAAATTTTATATAGAGAAAAAATTGTTTCCGAAAAATAAATAATACTTCCTCCACCTACGAGCCTTCAGGCTCAACTGCGATCAGAAACACCCACCATGTCCAAATATAATTTGAACTTGGCTATAGGAAGACTTTTGGTGAACATATCAGCAGGATTATAATCTGTATGAATCTTGTCCACAACACAATCACCTTTTTCAATGATATCCCGCACAAAATGATAACGAATATCAATATGCTTTGTTCGGTCATGAAACATTTGATCTTTACTCAAGAAGATAGCACTCTGGTTGTCACAGAAAACTGTGGTCACCTTTATTCTATCATCGAGTTCTCCAAATAACCCCTTCAACCAGATATCTTCCTTAACTGCTTCTGTAATCGCCATGTACTCTGCCTCGGTAGAAGACAGGGCAACTGTAGACTGTAACTGGGCTTTCCAACTAGCAGCACAACCATTTAGAGTAAACACATACCCTGTAATTGATCTTCGTTTATCCAAATCTTTGCCATAATCTGAATCAACATATCCGAACACCCCAGTGTTCGATTTACCAAAACATAAACACATAGAAGACGTACCGCGTAAATAACGAAAAATCCACTGTACTGCTTTCCAATGTTCTTTCCCCGGGTTCGCCATGTATCTACTAACGATGCTAACAGCATAAGCCAAATCAGGGCACGTGCAGATCATAGCATACATCAAAGATCCAACAGCACTAGAGTATGGAACACGTGCCATGTAAGCCATATCAGTCTCATTAGTAGGACTCAAAGCGGATGATAGCTTGAAATGAGCTGCAAAAGGTGTGTTGACAGACTTTGCTTCGTGCATACTGAAGCGTCTTAGGACTCTCTCAATATAACTTTTCTGAGAAAGATGCAAGATCCTAGACTTCCTGTCACGAATAATTTCCATACCTAAAATCTTTTTGGCAGCTCCTAAGTCCTTCATTTCAAATTCAGCTTTCAACTGGTCTTTTAACTTCTGAATCTCCTTCATATCTTTCGCTGCAATCAACAAGTCATCCACGTACAAGAGTAAGTAGATCTTTGAAACATTGTCACCTTTCTTAAAATAAACGCATCTATCTAGGAGACTGCTTGAGGCTATAAAGAGATTTGTTCAACTTGCATACGTAGTTCTCCTTTCCAGGAACTACAAAACCTTCAGGTTGTTGCATAAAAATCTCTTCCTCAAGCTCACCATTTAGGAAAGCTGTAGTGACATCAAGTTGTTCTAACTCAAAATCGTTAGAAGCAACCAACCCCAACAACACACGAATGGAAGTATGTTTGACAACTGGGGAATAAATGTCAGTGTAATCAATACCAGGAATCTGACTGTAGCCTTTAGCTACTAACCGAGCTTTGTATCTTGGTTTATCATTTGGGTTGACAGGTTCCTTGAGCTTGTAGACCCACTTGCATTTAACTGGTCTCTTCCCTTTCGGAATAGGAACTAAATTCCAAGTACTGTTTCGCTGCAAGGATTCCATCTCATTTTGCATAGCGAGCATCCAATCATTTGAGTCTTCAGATTTGATAGCCTCGTCATAATTCGTAGGCTCCGTTGCGTACTCAATATTATCAGCAACAATAAAAGCATAGGCAACTAAATCAGATTCAGCATACCTCTTCGGAGGAATAATCTGTCTTCTCGGTCTATCTCTTGCAATGCTTGGAGTAGTAGCTTGTGGTTGTGAAGGTGTTGAATCTTCACCAATAACATGCTCATCCGACGAAGAAGAATCTTGATGCTGATTTGTATTCTGATTAGTGGTACGTGAAGTAGGAAGCTCCACCTCCATTTGAGCATTCTCTTTATTTGCTTCGGATGATACATCTGATGCATCTGTTCTTTTAGAAGAGTCAGCAACTGGTTGAATCATAGCAGACTCATCAAAAGTAACATCTCTTGAGATGATAATTTTCTTCAAATCAAAGCTCCATAACTTGTAACCCTTTACACCTTGATTGTACCCAAGAAAAACGCATTTGATTGCTCTTGGTTCTAGCTTCCCATTGTCAACCCGTGCATATGCTGGACATCCGAATGGTTTTAAATCTGAATAATTTGCAGGTTTACCGGACCATAATTCAAACGGAGTTTTCTTCTCGATTGCTCGTGACAGTGATCGGTTGATAACATAGCAAGCAGTCGAAGCAGCCTCCGCCCAAAAAGACTTTGGCAATTTGGAATTAGAAAGCATACACCGGACCTTCTCCATAATGGTGCGATTCATTCTTTCAGCTACACCATTTTGTTGAGGTGAATGGACTACTGTGCGATGTCGAGTAATGCCTTCCTTTTAACAATAGACATTAAACTCTTCTGAGCAAAACTCAAGTCCATTATCCGTAGGAAGATACTTTACCACCAGACCTGATTGCTTTTCAACCTGAACTTTCCAATTTCTGAAGGTAAAGAAAACGTCTCCTTTATTTTTTAAGAAGAAAGACCACACCTTCCTGGAGAAATCATCAATAATAGTGAGCATGTAAATAGCTCCACCTTTTGAAGCAACTTGAGCCGGTCCCCACAAATCCGAGTGAACATAATCAAGTGGTCCTTTCGTTGTATGGATACCACTTGCAAACCTCACTCGTTTTGCCTTGCCATATACACAATCTTCATAGAAATCCAAATCAACAATCTTTTGTTGACCAAGTAAACCTCTTCGACTCAATTCTGACATTCCTTGAAAACTCATATGGCCGAGTCGAAGGTGCCAAAGACGGGACTGATCTGGATCAGAAAAAAACTTTGACACAACAGCAGCATCACTCGAAATTGTTTGCCCGTCAAGAAAGTAAAGATCTGAGGTTTTTCGTTCGGCTCTCAGTTTGTCGGAACCGTCTTTGAATACCCTGAGAACTCCACCTTTACCAGCAAACTCGTATCCCTTTTTGTCAAAGGAACTGAGAGATAACAAGTTTCTTCTGAGGTCAGGAACATATCTAACATCCCCCATGGTTCGAATAACTCCGTCAAACATACGGATCCTGACTGAACCATGTCCAAGAACTGGACATGTAGTATTGTTACCCATCAACACATAGCCCTGGTTAACCTTTTCAAATGTGTAAAACCAACTTTTGTTGTGACACATATGAAAAGTACAACCAGAGTCGAGTATCCAATCACCAGCGGAATCCAGTTTATCTGAATAAACTGTCAAAAAGTTCTCCAATACCTTCGACCTCAGCTAGATCGGCTTCACCCGAAGTGCTAGCTTGTTTACCATTTGCTGCTGTCTTCTCTTTTTCTTTGTTCTTCAACTTGAAGCATTCTTCAAGCACATGTCCCTTCTTGTGACAATAGTTGCAAAACTTTCGTTTGCCTTTTGACTTGGATCTGGTTCTGTTGGAAGATTGAGAAGTTCTACTTCTCTCTGTTGTTCTTCCTCTGGCATTCAAACCTTCGGCTTTAGCATCACTTGAACCACCACCAGTAATATGCTTCATCTTCTCTTTTGAATCCAAAGCTGTATAGACTTCATCTAAAACTAGAGTGTCACGACTATAGATAATAGTATCACGAAAATGGCTATAGGATTCTGGCAACGACGATAGTAAGAATAGAGCCAAGTCTTCATCTTCATACTGAACATCCATATTCTCTAAGTTATTTACTAACTCTTTAAATGTGGATATATGTTCAATTAAAGAGCCTCCTTCAATCATCTTGAGATTGAACAACTGTTGCTTCAAATGCAACTTGTTTGGTAAGCTCTTGGCCATCAACAGTTGTTCCAACTTTAGCCATAAAGAAGCCGCTGACATTTCTTTTAGAACATCTTGCAAAACATCGTTTGACAAGTGCAAACGAATCTGGG